ATACAGCCTTTTGCAAAAATTATGAGAATTGTCTAAATATCTAAATATCATAATATCCATGTCCATATATTGTCCGGAACACGCGGGTTTGCTAGAATAATTCATTGTTGACATCGAGAAAATGTTCAGAACTACGGACAAGTCTGTCGCCAAAAAAAAACCTAAACTACAAAGACAAGGGACTAAGGGCATCGCGCGGGATTACACATCATGCACTCGATATTATGATATTTAGATATTTCGACAATTCTCATAATTTTCGCTCGGGATTACCCATCATGCACTCGATATTATGATATTTAGATATTTCGACAATTCTCATAATTTTTGCAAAAGGCTGTAATCTATGAAATACCCATATTTCTATATTTCGTAAAGTTGATACTTTCACTCGTGAAAATAACACATTCGAGGTTTCTCTATAGTGGAAGTAAGAAAAAAAGCTATTTTACGACATAATGAGCTTTTATATGTAATTATATGATAAACAGAATATCACATGGTCGCTTGGAGATACGAATTTTATCTTCTCGTGTTGAAATTCGCTACGCTCACTCGTGAGAGATCTTTTCAACACTCGAAGATAAAGATCCGTATCTCCGCGCGCCCATGTAATATCCTCTATATTTAAGAAATATAAAACGGCGCGCGTGTCTCTGTCCTCTGATATAAACACGGTGGGAGTTAGAAAAACACGAGAGAAGCAAGCTTAGGAACACGAGCGTAGCGAGTGTTTCTCTTTCTTCTCTCGTGTTTTTCAACTCCCACCGTGTTTATATCAGAGGACAGAGACACAAGCGGCCGTTTTATATTTTGTTTTATAAAATTTTTCGAGCAAAAAGAACATTTTGCCGGTAAGCCGTGTCTCTGTCCTCTGATGTAAACATGGTCGTCAGCCAATCAGAGCGCGCGTTATATATCAAAAATTTTATAAATTTATATATAATATGTCTGATAGCGATCTGACTGAACAGGCAAACCTTATTTATTGCAATCCTTTTATTTTTACCATAAATGCAGATGTACAACTTTACAAACTATGCTGTGCAGCTAAACGAGCTCCTTCCCGGGCAAGATAAGCAGGTGACTAGGGCTGCATCTTGTTTATTAATTTATTTATTTTTTGGTTCATTTATTTTGACTTTAGTTTGTCGCTTAATTTATTCACCCAGTCTGTCAAACATTTCATGAGTTGTTTATCTGTTTATCCATCTATTCCTCTCTCTCTCTTCCTTTCTCCCTTGACCCTTTCCCTCCTCCCTCAAACTTCTTTCTTTTTTCGAACCCTACCCACCTTTCTTCTCTCACGATTTCCGTCTTTTATTTCCACCCTTTTCCATTAATAGTCTCCTTGATGGTTACCTGCGCCATCTTGAAAGGTAGCCGTGCCTTGTCATCGAAGCGAGACAACCGTTGAGCGTGCAATGATAGAAACCTTCTTTCACACCTACAGACAATTATTCACACAACAATAGCCGAGTTTAGATATTTTGGTTCAGTGACCATGCACAAAAGAATTGCAGACGAGGCTCCGGGGAAATAAAGAATAAAACGATATTATACGATCTTGGATTGGTCATTTTGAAGCGTGCACTTCAAAATAACTCTTAACAATATTAAAAAAAA